TTGACGATTCCGATCGTTATGACCACGACGTCAAGCGTCAGAATCGTTTTACGAACAGCTGTTGTTGTAGGCTACATAGCCTAACACTGAGCTACTTAGGGTGGGGTTTGGACTTAAATCATATTATTTTTACCTATAAATTGAAAGCATGATTGGGTGCACACCTTTAGGTACACATTTTTTTCAGAAAATCGAATACATCGTTTGTGTACATCATAAAAAGTTATGTACCCAAATACCAGTGGCGGTTCTGGTAGTATTTTTTTGGTGAGGCAACCTAAGTATCAACCCCCCCCCCCCACCCATACAACATTAGAATTCACAATAAATGTAATTTAAAAACATAAAAATAATTATAATTGTATGAATGCTAATAATATACTTGTTTCGTTTAGTAAATAATATAGTAATAGTAATAGATAGGTAATAAACAGAGCATTTTAAAATTTGATAGTCCTGAAAAGGACTTTTTGAGTAGGTAAGCCTAGTCCTGAAAAGGACTTTATGAGTGGGTATGCCTAGTCCTGAAAAGGACTTTTAAGTTATGTTATGTTATGTCTAGTTCTAAAACTATTAATTAACTAAGTTAAACTACCTATTATGTTTTATATGTTAAATTTATACTCCTATCTTTTTGACTAGAATACATGTTTATAATATCATCGTAAAATGATTCAGTTTTTTTAAGTTGGTGAATCAAGGACTTTTCAATTGATAGTATTGAAAGAGAACTTAAACGAACTTGTGAAATACTATTTCGAGAACAGGTTTTAATTCTTTTGAGGCAAGAGAAACTTCTTTCATTTGATACACTAGTTGATGGTATGGTTAAAATAAGAATAAATAATTTATAAGATTCAGATAAAATGTCTTTCAATGCATCTTGTTCAATAATTTTAACCATGTCATAGATGTGTAATAAATTTTGATATTTTACATCACTATACAAAACCTCCAATTCAACTTTTAATGTATTAATATTATAAAATATATTAGAATAAGTTGATTTCAAATTATTTAAAGCATTTACAGGAAATCTATTTGAATATTCTTTAAATTTAGTTACATCAGCTAACTGTAAAAAAAGTAATTTATTTGTATCTTGAAATCTGGTATTTAATTGCATTAGAATATTATCAATTATTTCATAAAACAATATTTTAAAACTTGATTGATTATTAGATTCATTTCTTGTAGCTTTTGGAGGTTTTGTAAGAGTAACCGCTTGATTAAATAATTTTGAAAATTCAGGTTCATTTCTTTTTTTATTTATAAGATCATATGTTATATTTATTTTTCTCAAGCAAAATTCTACATCAAATGATTTATTTTGGAGTATGTTAAATAAATTGTCAGTATATATGAATATATCACTAAATATCAGTGATAAGAAAGCAAATTCAAAAGTTTTTAAATTTTTTAAATGACCAATAGCACCACAAATAGATTCAGGTGACGATTTTGGATCTTTGCTAATACAGTCAAAAACATTTATAAACCCAGGCCACTCATTAACTATTGTGTGTAAAATTTTTGACCGTGAGGACCATCTTGTTTGAACAAATTGAGGAATTCTTTTCCCCACAATAGTATCTACAAAATTAGTACGCGAAGTGGAATTGTGAAAATAAGCAGCAATACCAGTGAGGTTAGCAAAAAATATACGACATTTAGCATTTATACTACAACCATGTTGCAGTACCAAATTTAATCTGTGAGCTAGGCAGTGTGTAAATAAAGCATTAGGTGCAACTTCCTTAACTCTAGCCTGTAAACCTGTTAAATGCCCAGACATTACACATGCCCCATCATAACATTGTCCAACTAATTTATTTTTTATATCAAACTCATGTAAAACAGAATTAACCAAATTAAATAAACCTTCAGCCGTGCGGTCTTCACTAACATTATGAAAACCCAAGAAACGCTCAACCAATTCAGATTTATCTGTAACATATCTAATTATTATTGAACATTGTGTTTTTTGACTGATATCTGTAGTATCGTCAATTTGAATAGAATAAAATTTACATTGCCTGATTTCATTTTTTATTTGGTTTATTAAAAATTCAGAAATGCATGAAATTAAATCATTTTGTATGGACTTGGACATACCTGAGAATATGTTTTTTATACTATTATAATGATTTTGTATTTCTTGAGAGCACCAAATAATATGCATATCAAATAACTCTCTAAAATTCCCTTTATTTAATGAATCACTGCTTTCATCATGACCTCTAAATGCCAACTCTTGTTTTCCCAAAAATAAAACCAAATCGATTAAGTACTTCATAAATAAACGATTCAATCTCACATTTTCATTATAATTTTTTTTAAACAAATTACCATGTTCATTAACAACATCTAGTATAGTAAAACAATTTTTTTCTAGGTTTTTTAATCCTAAATGATTATGAATATGTTCTTTTGATGATTGATGTATTTGTATACCCCTAGATAAATTTTTTAAATCATAATACCCAGTAGTATTCCACACAGACTTCATTTTACCCAACAACAAACATGGCCAACAAAATAATTTTTGTATATAATGACTTCCACATAACCAAGAGTGTTTTTGATATAAATTTGGATTAAATGACCTACAGAATACCTTACTTAGTTTCTTGTCAGGAGCCAAGGCTGACAAAATCGGAATAGGCTTACCAACTTTTAGTAGATCATTTTTAGTATCAGAATTCCAACGTCGAAACGGCGTCTCCAACAACATGACTACCACGTCTGTCACTGGATACATAACTCCAACAGTAATCAAAGTAATGTTTAACAAAAAAAACTGCAGCACTCGTAAATAATTTTAACGAACCAACGTAAGACCCAAGCGAGTAGCGACAATTTGAAGTTTGAATACAGAAATGTCAAATGACTAATGATAAATATAAAATTATTATCAACAGATATTACAACGGACAACGGTTTAATTGGGAATGTCCCGTGTCTCGACTCTCGACTGTAACAATAACAACTTTACTGATAATGTGTTTTTACGTTGAAATGCCGGCTGACCATAATATTACTGTATACCGCGTCTATTTTTAGTACATAAGGCAATGTTAGTCGAGCCTCCGATGTTCATTGCGCATGCGCAACTCTACTTATTTAAAGGTCGCGTGCATTCGCGTACATACGCTTGTGTGTGTAATAATTCATGTACACAATAGTACCATACTCCGAGGCGAAATGAACGGAGCCTCAGCTGGGACGTCATCGGAACATTGCCGCCGGTTGAAACACCAGCGTTTGTTTACGTAATAATTATTTCATTCATTTCTTATCGGTTTATCACTATTTTTTGGTAATAAACACTAAATGATAATATGATTTACCATTTACGATATAATAAAATATGATAATTCTTATTATTAAACAATAAACATGGCAAAGAAGAATTTTTTCTCAAATAAAATCATAAAAACGTTAAAAATTAATATCGAAATATATGCTATCGATGGGCCAAAAATGATACTTTTTGCGTATTTTTTTACTTAAAATTGTAGGTTAGGCGGCGCCTAACTTGCCTCACCCCCAAAACCGCCACTGCCAAATACATTTTATCTTGTGATCAAACGTTATATTTATTTATACCCAAACGTATTGAACTTTGGGTCAATGTGTCCAGGGGCATCATTTCAGGTTTTAAATATGGGTGCCAATATTTAAGGCAGGCCAAATAAACCAAGGTATAGGGCCGCTCCAAACAATAAGGGTAGGGTATACATTTGCCGACTCAATGTTGTTTTTCTCGCTTTGTTCCAATTTTATGTTATTTAATTTAACTTGCCAATACTAATATATTATATGTATATTTATGTAAGTAGCTTTATTTAATAATTAAAAAAGCTAATAAAATTCAACATTTTCTTATAGCTAAAAAAGAGTCAAAATATTTTGAAAATTCTAAGGTGTGTAGAAGATGTAAATATAAACATTATATGAAAATTGTATGTTTCTACGGTTATTATTTTTATAGTAACCTACTACAACAAACAAAATCGATTTCATCAAAAACTGGTTTCGAGTGAAAATCTCCGTTTTCTTTTAATTTATTTTTTAATTTAAAATAAAGCGACTGTAGCAAATGGTAACCTATGGCAACGAACCACACGTCTGTCGCCCGGCAACCGTGCCGTCGTCCAAAATCAATAAAATCCCTTTTTAAATGTACTGACGAACCGGTATAGTGCAGTTGTCACAGTTAAATACAATGATGTATACACCGGCAACTAGTAGTAACTGTGTGTGAGGTAATACGGCACCTCATCTATAACATCAGCAGTAGTTAAAGCAAAATTTTACATTGATATAGAATTTTAGGAAAGCGTTAGATGTAATTGTAGAGCTTTATTATTATTTATTCCTAAATACTAACATAATTGCAAATACTCATGGATATAGGATAATTTAGGTAGAGACGTAGAGCACTATAGACATACTAAACATAATCACTGTAGTAAAATACACTCCACTTATTTTGCTGACGCCTTACACTATTATTTTCACTCTTCTATTGCAGACAGGCTTTTACAATAAATATTGTTAGTGTATAACCTAACCATGCCGCTTAGAGCTTAGGATAATTAGTTCGAATGAAAACATTAGTTTAAAGTATGCTTATTAATTATTAATTGCGGTCTTATTCGAATAATATTTTGGTCCAATATTATATTGCATGTATTTTGATAGAAGCTAACCGATGCTAATAAAGATTCCATATTTGACGAATGACTTTCAATGGTTTGAAAAGCTACATCGATTGGATATATTATTATAAAACTCGTCTTGCTATTCAGTTTACTGTTTAGTCGACCGCGGCGGCCGGCAGAGCGACGTGGCAACGTTGCGTTGCGTGAACGCGGTCGACGGATGAGCGCCTTGCGCAGTGCGCACGCATATCTGGTCGGTGGCACCACCTCCCCGCCCCGCACCACCTATATAGTAGCGTCAAATACCGCGGTCCGCATTTCACGGGCACAGCGGCAGGCAGTCGAACAGTAGATGTACGACAATAGTATATTTTAGTAGTGAGTCACTGAGTTGTAGTCACCGCCCAGTAATAACGGCAACAAAGGTTATATTTTATTACATTTTAATATTGCATTTTAAAATATTGCATTGAATACATTGATGTCACGAACAAAAACGAAACACAAACTGTTGCGTCCGGTCTCGGAACACCCGCACCGCTAAATCGATAAGACAATACCGTATTTGCGTCACTGGCATCACCACTCACGCATCCACGGCAATACTTATTTTGTTCTCGTGTGAACCGGCATCGCGACCGACTTGGCGTGCACAAAATTAAGTAGTGTCTTTTGTTATTACGCCGGGTCGACGTTCCTGCAGACGGCTCCGTTTGGCAGCAGGTATGCCGTTTTGCGAATAATTACTTTTGTTTGTGGGGGGGGGGGGACTTAGTTGTTGGTGGTAGTAGGGGAGGGGGATGTGCGCAAGATTTCCATAGGCTCCGCGATGTCATACAACCAAAGGCGCCGAATGTTAGTTTTGCCGAAGAACAAAATATGGCATAGGTAAATTAATAGTTGTAGAATATTTTGTAGAGTTCTTGTCGGCGGATGTTTAAGCTTTATAAATAATTATGTCGTAGGCGTTTCAAAAGACATCGGCACATTGGGCTAGGGTCGATGCGTTTTTCGAGGCTCAAATATTCTTAAAAATTATTGAGTAGAAATGTGGTAAAGAAAAGTATCAAGTACTTGCTAGAAGAAAGACTTCATACGGAACTGATATTAACTTATGTCTAATCCATGAAGTAAACCTACCTAAATATATCTATATCTGGACATCTAGTTAAGATATAGCCACAGATATAACTATGCTAGATAGTCGTCTTGATATCATTAATGTACATACGAGTAAAATCGTTAGTTGTCCAGGTTGATAAACAAACTTTATCAACTATTGTAATTAATTATCATACAAATTAAAATTCATCTGCTCACTGTTTAATATATACCAATAACTGTTGAATATAATATAATATAATATAGTTTACTAATCGTTTTATTTATTATTATTTCTTATACATATTCCTTAATTAGGTATATGGTTCTCCGTTTGTTTGTATCAATTCTGATTATTACATAAAATGCCTATTGTTCATGTAAATTTTAAACTGTCACAACAAAGCCAAAGCTGATAGTAACATACATTTTTTTTTAATGTACTTAATTTTCTATGGATGAGGACGTTTAACACCCGTAATTCACTTTTTAATAAATGGATACATTCTTATTAATATTCCGTGTATTAACAATAAAGCTGGTGGTGTATCGATTTTAATTAAATTAATATAGTATATCACTAAACTAGTATAGTCCTGAACTATAGTAAAAATGTATTACCGGGTTGTAACTCATTAGACATTTCTTTCTCTCGGGACAAATGTTTATATTATTTAACAGCAATTTTGTAGTACAGTATTTTTAACACCAAATTCTGGGGAGTTCATGCTTTATTTAAACCAATATCTTTGTCGATGACTTCAAATAGTACACAATCAATAAGCTGTGGAGATATCAATATTGATATTTTAAATAATAATCTGGAATCCATTAAATACTCAAATATATTAACACAAAATGGATTTTATAACGCATGTTATCTTTATACTAGAATACAAAATACATAAAAAATCTGTATTGATCATTTATTTATACAAAATGTTTTTAATACAAATGTCAAAACTTATGTTCTTCGTAACAGTATAACTGACCATTTTAGTTTAATTTTAAACACTAATATTGAGGATGTACTAGGAAATTATAATGATAAAAATGATATGAACAAAAAATATGTTAGAATTAATTACTCACACTTAAATTTATTAATACAAATAGAAAATTGGAGTTCAATATTCAAAAAAAGTAAAACTGCTACACAGTCAGTAGATTTCTTTAATGATAAAATGAATGAATTTATTTATTTATTTTCCAATGAAACTCAATGTAACTATAAGGGTTAAAAAAAATGTAAATACCTTTGTTTATAGCTGGTCTTATCACCTTAGTAAAAATAAGGGAAAACATGTATAATAAAACCCTTAAACAACCATTTAATGTTGCCTTAAAAATCTATTATATTTCATACAGAAATATATTGAATTAATTAATAAAGCTTGCCAAAAATGTGTATTATTGTAATAAAATTAATAAAGCTGGTAAGAATATAAAAAAAAAACATGAGGATGTATTAAAAAAGCATCTAGCACAAAAACAATTTAAAAACCTATGTAAATGAAATACTCAATGAATATAACATAACCTCAGACGAACATGAAATTGCTAACATTTTTAGTACATGATAGGAACTGATATTGCTGATAGTATTAATAATAGTAATTTTAAACGAAAAAAATGGAATGAACTCAACAATAATTGTTCTGTATTAACTCTATTTATTTTAAGCCAATGAACCAGGTAAAAAAGTTACATTATTAGTAAATGTAAAGAACACTCCTCTTTCTATGAAGAGTTTTTAACTAATTTGATATTAAAAAAGAACCGGCAATTAATATATGAATACCGTTATCTATTTTATTCAATAAATGTTTATCAGAGGGAGAGTTTCCAATAAGTTACAAAAATCAATTGTTATACCACAACCAAAAAATGTTAACATTAAACACTGTGCTAACTATAGACCAATAACTTTAACGTTGACAATATCTAAACTATTAGAAAAGTGTGTAAAAATAAAACTGACAGAATTTTTGGATAAAATTAAATTTTTCAATAAAAATCAATATGGATTTAGGAGCAAACTATCTACTACGGGCGCACTCTACGATGCCACAAAAATTATATCAGATCAACTGGATTCAAAAAAAGAAGTTGGGATGTTTTTAAATCTGAAAAAAGCGTTTGACTCTTTTGACCATGATTTCTTAATTGAAAAACGAGAATACTGAGGAGTGAGAGGTGTCAAAAGTCAAACTAAGTTTCTTCAATTTATATCTTACTAATAGTTATCAAATTGTTAAAATCAATAACGTATTTAGCAATGAGTTACCTATTAAGTACTATGTGCCTCAGGGTACAGTGCTAGGTCCGCTACTGTTCACTATTTACATTAATGGCCTCCTTAATCAAAATATTGATTGTGAAATAATTTGCTTTGCAGATGATACAACTATTATATTTAGTAGTGACTGTTTGAATAGTGTTGAAGAAAAAATAAGTGTTGCCCTAAAAAATGTTAAATCTTGGTTGGACAATAATTCACTACAAATTAATTATGATAAATTCTCTTTTTTGCATTTTAAAATTACTAGTAATCATAATCCGGAGTTAAATACATATATAATACATCTATCTTTAATTAAGAAGGCAACCTCAGTTAAAATTTAACTACTAAGTTAAATACCTGTGTAATGGCCTGTGTCTTGATGACCATTTAAAATGAAATTTGCATATAAATCATCTAATTAATAACTTAAGGATATTTTTCTGTCTTTAAAAACCTAAAAAATATTTTGAGTTATAAACTTGAGATCATTGTTTACTAAGTGTTAGTACAATACATTGTTTCATATTATGTAATTGCCCTCTTGGGTTCTGCCTATAAAACCTAAACAATTAAATTAAGGACCACATTAAACTCACTTATAAAATACTAATTCAACAAGCCGTGGCATTACTCAACTTCTTTTCAATATAAAGAATTATAAATACTTAGTTTTACTAATCTTCATTTATTATTTGCTAGTACACTTTTATTTAAACACAAAAATACTATTATTTCAGCGCATGTGCATGGTCATAAGACTAGATTTAACAAACAATTTTAATATAAACATTCCTAAATTTAGAAGTATATGTGTTTTCAAATGTAGAGTATATAATAAGACTAAAATAATAATAAATGTATAATTCAAAATTAAAATGTATAATCTAATTAATATAAATATAATATAAACGTGACTACTTTTCGTAACATTTGGACACACGTTTTAAATAACGACTATACATTTTAGTTTTGAATTATTATAAAATTATTATTATTTTATTTATTTTGTTAATATATATATTATGTAGCATATTATGTTGCACTGTATAAAAATAATACATTTACAAATTACAAAGGAGGGATGAACAGTAGTCGGTGGAATCAATATGTAAATATTATAAACAGCAGCCGGCGGGATCAATATGTAGATTTTATAAACGGTAACCGGCGGAATCGATATACGCGATACGCCCCATAATAGTCCACAACTTTCAGGTAGCGTACTATCTTAAATAAACGGGTTTTGTAATAATATGAGAATACAGAAATGTGTGGAATCAGATATGACAATAATAAAAAGCCCCGAAAATTGTGAAAGTTAAAATTGAAATACAACGTATAATAATGTCGATATTTTATAAGAAACTGCGTAGTAGATTATCGAAAATGTAGCCACATAAGTTACGCACTCGTATCGCGTAAGCATTTCCGAGAAGATTGCGTGTGGACACTGCTTCCGTGGTAAGGATACTCGTATCGAAAAGGCTAGAAGTAGAGGGTAAGCCTATATAGGAGAGCCCTAAATGGCCCATCTTCAGACGTGATTATTTGACAGAGCAAGCCAGAGCACCTCTACGCCAGTCAGTCTTTTAATTTATTATTTTGGATTTAAAATAATGTGAACAGAAATATTTTAGATTTAGAAAATAATCGAGTCAAATCGATCTATTTCTTAACACTTAAAATAATTTGGTGGGCATTAATATTTTTACACCCAATGGTTTGTAAATTTTAGTAACACAAACGTAGTAATTACTTTAAACTTAATTACTTTCAAACAAATAACAATCACTTTATAGTCCGACCTTCTTTTTGAGACACACTTTTTTTCCAAGCGACATCACTGCATGGAGGCTGGACTGCTTAGAGACACCCTAAAGTTATGATTTATTACGCGATTTTTATTTTATCTAACCATTAAATTCCATGAGTACAGTGTGGTTTTGTTGTATTATTGAACATATCTTCAAAAAATAATTGTGTTATAAATAAATACATTGTAATTTAAATTATAGTAAAGAATACAATTATTATAATTTCAGGCGAAATCCTATTTCTGTGATTTATTTGCTGAGCCGTCCAAGTAAGAGATAAGATCCAAAATTGCTAAAGAATGATAAACCATTTTTAGAATTAGTATTAGTTACAAAATACTATTATCATGGAAAACACGGCAGATAAGCAAATTAGAGCTGCAAGAGTAAGTTTAATTTGTATTTTGTATTACCTACACAATAACTACATAAAGGTACTTTCATACCTTCATGTATAGTATTAATAATTCTTTTTTATTTATAGATATTGTTCAACCTTGCTCACTGTTATTTGCAAACTACAGACATTGATGATGAACAAGAAGATGAAAAAAATAATACAAAAAAAAAAGACTTTCAACAAACAGAAAAAGAAGAAGTAAATGGAAAAGAAGATGACACATTTCACAAAAAACAAGAAAAACAGAATGAATTAGATGATGAAATAGAATTACACTTACAAGTGCAAGTTGAATCAAAATACCAACAACAATTATGTAAAGATATACAAAATAAAGACTTAAAAAAAGAAAAACCTGAAATGGAAATAGAATTAAAAATAGAAATTCCACAAGAATTTGATGGTTCATATCTGAAAAATGCTGATAAAGAAAAACAACATTTCGAGGAGGAAGTTGAAAAAAAATCAAAAAAAAATCATGAATTTAATCAAAAAAGGGGAAGAGAAAACATACCAGAACTAATTAATTTAGAAATAAATCCTGATTTAAAATTTCAACAGGACATGGAGAGAGAAATAAGACTGAAACACAATATACCAAAAGAAAATGTGCTTGTAGATTTAAGTGGAAAAAATATCAATCCTTCAAGCACACAAGACCAAATTCAAAAAGGGATTGACATTAAATCACAAAAAGATAATAGTGATGTTCTACTAGAAAATGAATTACTAGAACAGAAAAATATACACGAAAATCTAATGGAATCATTTCATAGGTCAGTTCAAAAAAGAATTGAAAGACTTATTTGTGAAATTCCGTTAGAAAAACAAATAATAAATGATGATCTCCGACAAGAAATTAAAGAATTAAAAAAAGAAATCAAAGAACTAGATCCAGAAAATTTTAATGAATTAAATAAAGACATTTTAGAAGAAGTTTCTAAAAAAGATTATTTACCGGTTCAAGTAAAATTTTTTAAAAATCTCTACCGTTCATTTATCCAGGATTCAGCACCTTTTTATAATAGATTAGACCAATTAAGCAATGATAAAACACAAACAGCTGAACAACAAAAATTGAATGAAGAATTTTTAAAAAAATTAGATAGTTTATTATTGCAAAAATGTAACAAAGAAACACAGGAAGGAGTTAGTGGAGATGAAAGAAATCAAAATCAATGTGAAGGTATTGACGGAAAAGAAAAATTTCAACATTATGATTTGGTTCTACAATATAATCATGAAATGTCGCAAGAACTAGAGGGACATGCACAACAGGTTGTAGGTAAAAAAATATTAGTTGACTTCTATGATGATGCAGTGAAAACATATTTACATAAATCTGATAAAGATGTATTAAAAGAAAAATTACGTAGAGCAGGAACAGATGTTATAGACCAAACACAAAAAGAGGAAAGTAAAAATATCATATTTCAGTTAGAATTTTATAAAAATGTAGAAGTTGAAGAGGGACTACAGAAAAAAAATGAAAAAAAATTACAAAATAATACTGAAGAAGAAATAAACGATGATCTCATAGTAAAAACTCAAGAAAATGAAATAGAGGTAGAAGAAGATTCAGATTTGGAAATAGAAAATTTCAAAGAAGAAAAACAAGTGTATTCTGAAATTGCAAATTACAAAAATGTTGAAGTAAATGAAAACGAAAAATTCAATAATGATGAACTGGAAAGAGCTAAAATTGTTGAGTCTGGAGTGAATACCGAAGATTCTGAAAAAATGGTACAAGAAGATTCTGATGTGGATATTGAAGGTTTCGAAGGAGAAGTACTAGAGTTTCCTGAAGTTAATATTGAAGACTTTGAAGAAGAATCTCAGGAAAATACTGATTCGGATACTGAAGACCTAAGTGAGGAAGAAGTTATTGACATAAATGAAGTAGTAGAAATAGTTGAAGACATAGAAGTAGAATCAAATTGTTCAATAGACAATTATACACCTTCAAATGATGTACCCACTCCAACATGCAATGAATTGAATTTAAAAATTAATCCAAATTCTAACCTTACACGCGACGAAGAAGAAAAATTAAAAACCATCAACTCATCTGACCCTGCAATATTTACGAATCATATTAAAGAGAAACAAACATTTTTTGAATTTGAACATCGATTAGATGAATTATCTCAAGAATATAAAGGTTATGTGCAGCAAAAAGTGCTTAAAGAATTAGAACAAGATATAGATGATAAACAGTTACAAGAAATGGAAATATTTCCAGATACGTTAAATGAAGTAAACGTAAATATAAAAGAAGATTTTAAAAAAGAAATTGAAGAATTACAAACTGAATGGTGTCAATTAAAACCAGAATTCATGAATAATGTACCATTAAATTTTGAAAAGAAAAATTCAAACAAAAAATTAAAAGAAAAACCATTCAATTTGTTTGACAAATTACATTCTATACACAGAAAGCTATTATGCAAATTTGCTGATTCCAAAGAGTGGCCAGAGAATGTAAATAAATAGATATTTATATTATTTATAATAACTTGACCACATAACTTGATTCTCTTAAAAAGTACAAATATGCATTTATTATGTTTGTTTAGGTAGGTATCAAAAATAAAAAAAATACAATATTTTATAAAACTATAAACAGTTCAGAGTAAATATACTTAGGAAAATTAAATTAATGTAATGTGCTTTTAAACCTATACTCTTAAAATTGATAAAATTAGAAAAATGATAAATACCTACCTAGACATTTGTAAAATTTTAAAACATCATTTTAAAATAACTTAAACATTTTTCTTTAGTTAAATTATACTTGTTATTAGAGTTATGCATACATTTATGTATACTTACAGATTAAAGATTGACCGTATAATAATAATACATAAATATTGTTGTTGTTTTTTATACTGGCTACCTATTTGAACAACATGATACAATGTAATCTGAAAACCGTGATTTCTCAAAATAAATGTAATCTTAAATAAATCGTATTATCATTAAACATAAACTATTTTCTAAAAATTGTAAAATTAAAAAATATTCAATCACTTCTGAACCTTAATAATAACTATTATTTGAATCATTTTTATTTTATTTTGAATATTTTATTTTAGTGTTTCCATCCATCAAGTTTGCTGGACGTTTTGTTTGATGACCCTACTGAATTCAAACCTAATGTGTTGGTGGTTACATTGCATTCCGAAGACAAAGGTTATTCAATAAAAATTAAAACAGACAAGAATTCAAAATCGCCAGAAGAATATTTTTTCAATTATTATGAGGACACAATATTAGTACATATGGAAGATGAACATCTACCTCCAGATTTGTTGGATTTATTAGATAGCGCTGAACCCAGGTTATTTTATTCTGGATGTGTTATTGCTGAAATTCATGATCAGGTAGATGAGGTTCCAGGCCGAGTGTATAGGCTAATACTGCGTCCTTTTAGTTTGGTAAGCTATTTGAAAGTATTAATAATAATTTTGAAATATATATTTTACTGTTATATTTTAATCCATAATATAATTACAATACTTAATTACAGTCCATTCAGAGAGATATTGACCGTATAATTGCTAAAAATAGTCATGTCACTGATATAAATTATTGGTCATATAATAAAAGATTAAAGCTAGAAAGTATACTGCTTAAAAAATCATATCCAGTTATGTGCATGGATTCATCGCCTATTGCTGGTTTAGTAGTTAATTTACAGCATCAAGTGTTAAGTTGTCGTACTATAGTACTAAATCCACTTAAGAGAAAAAATAACTGTTCGAAGCCAAAACCATCAAAAACAGATTCATTCAATGAATCTAATGACAACTTAAATACATCAGTGTTGTCAAATGAACCTCAAGAAGACTCTTCAAAATTAATGGTTGGTTGAAAATATGTCTTATTATATCTAAGATCTATCAGTACCTACTACCTATATACTTGTATAGTTGTATAATAAAATTGTATGTATTATTATTTAAACATGAAAGTATTAAATATTGATGATTTTTAATCTCATTTACTTGATTAAATTAAATATATATTTATGTTTAGGATACTGAAAATACAAATATTGAAAACTATGTCTTATGGAAATTTGAATTTCGCATAAAATTATTAAAACTTCTCAAAATGTTTGTAATATACATAACAGAAACTCAAGAATTTTCTATGTTATTATGTACAAATCCAAAGATTGATTCTATCAAAAGGATACGGTATAGAATTTGTAATGATTAATTTGAAATATTTGAAATATTTTTATTTTTACACTGTTAACAGGTTTAAAATACAACCTTTAGAAAAGAAATTGAATGCCTATATTAATAAAATGCTAGAAATTCTTCGAGAAAAAATAAGCCCTGATATTGAAGTGGTTCAGAGGTATAAATGTCAATATAATTCAGCTCCTCTTTCGTTCAAGAGCATTCCATCACTGTTAAGCGACAAAATGTACAAAGCCAATAATGCAGATATAAGTCAGGTAAATTTTGAACTAGGTTTAAAAAAAGAAATATTTTTTATATTACTCAAATATTTGGAATTTACAAAAAAAAATATTTTGTTTAAATTTCAGTTAATAAATATATTTATAAGTAACTCCAACATCAAATATTTACCTATAAATAAGAAGTTGGAAGAAATGTATACACATAATGGTGAAATAACTAAACATGGGACTGAAAAAAGCGACTTATCACTTATGCAAGAAAAATTGGCTGCTGATTCTCAAAAGACTAACGAAACAGAAGAGAATTCTAGTGTAAACATACAATTAAAATAAATTAATATTCTGATAAGGGTTTTAACTCGTATTTGTTATCTACTTAAGGGTTGAGGGTTGTAACTTTTTAATACTCTACTTTTGCAACTTTTTATTTTGACTTTCTCTAATTTTATTATCAACATTGATTGAAATTAATATAAATAGTTAAAAGGTTATTGCAAAAAATATACATTTAAAACTAATAATTAAAAAGTTTCTTTCATTAAACTGTAGGGACACAAATATAAAATGATAAATTTTTGTAATATTATCATATTATAATGAGGGTTAGTAATATTTAAATAAATCTATTTTTATAGGATCCAGAAATCAAAAGAAATATGCTGTTTTGTGCAACAAAAAAGTTATCTACGAATCCAAAAAAATTTTTAGGTGAGTTTTAAAAATATTTTCAAACAAAATATACTTTACTTAATTTCAATCGTTTGCTGTTATTCCTATTTTAATTACATGAGAAATGTTTTTAGTTTACTAGTGAAATCTCATATAAAATTAATTTAACTTTTTTTATGTATTACACTGTATTGCGTTCAATTTTCAAGTTTTCGATTGGGGAAAAAAATTTTTCCTGACAATAATTAAATAAAAATTAATAAAAATCTAAAATGTCTTATGTCTTATATGTCTTATAAATAGTTCAAAAAGAGTTAAAATATTTTTTAAATGTGTTTGGTGTAGGGAAAATGATAAGTAATATAAACATTGGGTAAAAATGTCAAGTAGTTGCAGTTATTTGTTTTTTAGTTACTCCAAAAACAAATTCAATTGTGTCAAACTTAATTTTCCGTAGAAAAATCACATTACTCCTAATTTTTTTCCTCTGTCAGTTATTTTTTCAAAAATCGCCGAGAATTTCAATTTTGACTTCTTGTAAGCACCTACTAGATTAACTTGCCCACCAGAAAAGTTACTGAAGTTGTATATTGAAGTATTATTTCAATTACTTTTTATTATTTATTGTGTACCTAGGTATAAATAATAATAATAATAATAAAACATATTGTAAACTGTTAAGTCATTACATTCATCGTTATGCTACTCTATGGAACTGCAAATAAAAAAAACTAATTATGTCCAATTCAATAGGAATACATAGTTTTTTTAATTTAAATTACATAGTCTTATTAGTAATTGGTATTGAATTTAACAATATAATAAATCAGAATTGTATTCCATTTATTTACATTAGTATTAGTTAACATATTGTGATGAAATATGTTTAAAGAAGATGACTTGGTAAAAAACAATAAGATATCATACTATTTATTATTATAATCTATCTTACTTGGTCATTTTTAATTTTTAACATATCATTGTATTGTAATAAATGTAAGAATTAATTATATGTTCAATTTGACAGATGCATTAAATGATGTGGATTTAGTAGACAAAATACCTGATTCGTCGTCACTAAAAACTCGAACCATACCAAAGGACATTTTATTCAATAAGGATACATCTCTTGAACCATCATTAATACTTGGTAAATTGATCTGATCAGTACGCCCTAAACCTAAATAATTTAACATTTTAAAATAACCTATAAGTTAGAACAACATAATACTAAACATATATTTAAGTTATTAAAGTGTCACTTTCTAAATAATTTTAAATTTTTATTTATGCCATAATTCATTGTTTTTTTTTTTTAATATATACTTTAATAAAAGTAATAATAGTTAATTTGCTGAATATTTGATTTGACAGATTTATCAAAAATGGACTTCAAAGATGAAATAGCTGATTTGTCGTCATTAAAACCGCAAACCATGTCAAAGAACATTTTATTCAATGATGATACTATGCCTGTATTAAAAGAAAAGTCTACCAATATAGAGACAAACTCCTCTCTTGAACCATTATTAAAAAGGCCAATACACATAGTTTCAGAAAATGATAGTTCTTCAGATCTAGTCCAAGAAAAAATATTATCGGTATCAAGTGGTTCTACGATTCCAGTACTTAGATTTCTTACAACAACTACGCCATTTGAATCAAGCCCAGCAGTAGTGTTATCAAGTTTATCAATAATTAATTCTCTAGTTACGAGCATTAAAACTTATATGTTACCAATTGAGTCACCAAGTTTGGGTTATATAGCAATATCTGAAAGCTTGTCTTTACAAACTGAAGACAATGTGTTAACATCGAGATTTAATGATGATGATGACTCCAATACTAAATCATTACCAGCTATGAAACCAAATGAATTAATACATTTGACAAAAATAGATGATATTGCAGTGAAAATGTTTTATTATACTAATCAAATTACACCCACGACATGTAATGAGATGAGCCCAACTGAAAATATATTCACAATGTTTTCAAAGTCTGAATGCGTAGAAGATAGAGGTACCTGATAGAATTTACTATTTATTAATTACAGAAAAACACACATTTTTACGCAGAATAAACTGTAAAATGAGATAGGTTTTTAAATTATATAAATTAGAGTCTAGATAATAAGCCTAATAATTATTATCTAGACTATATAATATAAATTATCTATTTAATTTATATTTTCTTTTAAGTGTTGATGGATATTCATGAACCCTTATCCGAGCTATTTGAGTTAATTTAATCCTTTATTCTAGTATAATAATATTGACTCTACTAGCAAACCCTATTTTTCTGTAACATGGATAATAATAAATACAAATGGGCCCTGGTGATTGTTTTATCATTGAAACCTCATTATTTAAATAGGAATAAATGTTTTTGAAAATAAAAAAAAATGTCAACATGGTTTTGTCGCTAAAAAAAAAAACATTTTTTATATTTTTTATACACAACATTATGTAAGTCTTAAATTTTTAAATTTTTTGAATGACAACATAGTTTTAATTTTATATTCCAAAACAAATTATTTTAAGTATTCCAACAAAAAAATTTAATTTAAGACGAATGGTTTATGTATTATAACTTATAAGCAATGCTTGTAAGTTAATGATGTAATAATAAATAGATGGATAAACATGCACTTATGCACTAAAAACTGGCAAAATGTGCATTGAAATGTACCTTAAGGGATTGCAAACCGACAATTTTTAAGGGGTTTGGTAAAGTAAATTCTTTCGTTCCTTGCTGTCACTGATCGTCTTTGTGTGTGTAGTAAATGATCATTAGTGTGTGTATACTCCCTCCAATCACCCGTATCATACATATTACGCACTGGCATGTTCATGTAATTTAGTTGGTAGATCAAAATATTCAAACCAATTTATGTACGTGAAATAGATGTAAGACTGACAAAAATTAAAATACTTCTAGTCATTTGATTTAAAAAATGTAAAGATAAAATTTAATTGGTAAACAAGATTACTTTGTATTGGACGGAGCACTTTTCAATTTTATCAAATTCATGACGAAAATAAATATTTTACATTTTATAAGTGTATGCATTTTTAATGTTGAATAAACTAAAAGACATACAATATATGCTATAACCGATGCATAGTTGACTTATTTACCAACCCAAATATTTTTATATTTTATAAATCAAATCACTAGAAACCTCAAACTTTGTCAGACTCCAAGGTTGTTTTGATGAAAAATTAATAGCGTTTGCAATCCTCCTAAAAATATATTTTTGAAATAAACATTTATAAGTTTTATTTTTAATCATTTTACTAAAGATTTTTTTAATGAAAAATTCCATTCAAAATTATACAGTAAAAAATATAAATAATTGCATTTATTTGTATCAAATTTTTGTCTTTTGTTAAATTCCAATAAAAAATGAATGTTAATATTATATTACCCATACTCTATAGGAAAATTATAATTATGAATGAAATGCTGAGCAAAATATAAAAATACATAAATATGTCAAATAGGCAAAAAACCTCTGAATATGCAAAAATGTGCAAAAATATGCATAATAAAACTTCGCATACTTAACCATGGTAGCAACTTCAAAATGGATTCTATGTCATCTAGCATTAAACACAACTTACCAACATTGATATGCAAATGCATGAACTTACTAGCCTTGGCTAGAAGTATTTTAAGTTTTGCTAAGTCGGAGTGGAGTGATTTGCTGTTTTTCCTTAAAATGTTAGTACACTACTCCACTCATATAAACTTTAAAAACTTATGACTTATAAGTCATTACCCACTCATCTTAAATTTGATTTTTCTGTATCAAAATACTCAAAAATATTCTGCTATTGGAGATTACCTATATTAAAACTGTGTTACAATTCAAAAAAGCAAAAAACATAAAAATGTATTTAAAAATATAATTTTTAACAAATTGTAACCATGTAAAAAACATTTATGTGTTTTAAATAATAAGTATCTTACCTTAGGTTAATCAACCGATCTCAAAACATAATACATTATGAATATGATTGACTCTCTTCAGCTACCTATTCGCAATTTAGTAAAAATGTAAAATGTTTATTAAATTTGTTATAGAAGTATTAGAAGACCAATACATGTTAAGATGTCTTCAATTATTTCATCAACAACCAACACTACTAGGTATTTCGACTCCACATAATACACAGGTCTGTACGTTTGTTTAGATACAAGTTGTTTAGAAAATGAATATTGGTTTGGTAAAATCTATCCAAAGAGATATTTATCGGATCAAAAATGAATGTATTACTTTATCAGGAAGTAGGTAAAGGACACACAGACTTATACGGCTTATACATACAATTATTTTTCCAAAGCAATACTTCAATAATTGATTTGAGTTTTTGGTATTGTAGGTCAGATTATCAAATTGTATTGTAAACATTGATCAACACAAGTATTCATATCTATAATATACCCATGAAATTAAAAAAAAAATTTGGTGGGTAGGTAACCGCAGTATGCAGAGCTGCAGTTTGCAACTTTTTTAGTTGTGTGGACCACAAAATGTGTAAAAAAAACTTTGAAACCCACCCACTTAGTATATAACTAAAAATATTTTCAATACACACTAATAGACACCTATATATGTTTTCAGATGTATAATTTACACATGTCACATGTCAGTAATTAGAGAAACATACCTACTGTACAAATAATTTTTTAAAGAAATTAAGTTTATTGTATTCAACTCAAAAACAAGTGATCAAAGTTAAAAAATAACTCAATGTGGTTCTTGACATTGTTTGTCACGAGAGATTCAATATCAGAATTAAATATTTATGGATAGTATTTTAGCCTTAAATCACTCTCAACATTCATTTTATTTCTGCACATAAATAATACAAGTTGAAAAGGCTCCTTCACAAAGAACACCTACAGATACTAGATAGGTAGGTTGTTGAAAACCTCATCAATTGTTCCAGAGAAATTTTGGCAATTTCTGTATAGTCTTGCCAAACACTTATTGAAGATGGGACCAATGTACTAAACTGTGGTTTTAAAAAACGATTTTAGAGTCGGATCACATTATACTATTATTGTATCAACAATAGTATAGAAAATGATTATAATTTTCATTCTGAAAAAATATTCTGATTCTAGTAAATATGTATGACGGAACGGTTTATTATAAATTGTTGTAATTTAGATTGATTATTGCTTGTTGCTATAATTTTCAAAAATTTCCAAAATTCCAAACTTAAATATTTAATCAACTAAATAAAGTTATATTGCTCTATCGATCCCTCATGCGTGTTTGGAAAATTACTCCGTCTGAATGCAAATTGACGTAATCTTTGCGACACATTGTTGGAATTAGAGTTGACCAATTGAGTGAAAAATAAACATTTTTTACGCAATCACAAAATAGTTATCTGACATTTGCTTAAAAACTAGTCCAAGCAGTCAATTTGAGTTCCCTCCGTGATATTATTATGTGGGTTTATTAATACGATAAGGCTAATAGCTAAATGTATAATAAGTTGCCTATTAAATGTTCCTAAGAATCCAGTAGTAAAAAGGGCAATTAAAAAATGAATTTAAGATGGTTTAATGATAAATACAAGTTTACCTTAACTACAAATGAAAATAAAATGATGACCCACCTAATTTATTTTTAATAAACATTATTTAAGTTCATCATTAGCCTTATACTAAATTACATGTTTGTGATATTAATTTATTTTATTTTTATCTGTTTTATAGGAAAATGAAGATGAATTTCCAGATAATATGTAAGAGATATTATGTAACAACAAGTTCATATACAGTATAATATGGTGGTATGTTGATTTAATTTAAATTTAAATAACTTTATAGATTGCATTCCCTATTACAATTTTAAATAAATCAGCTGTAGATAATTTTCACCAAAATTGACCAAAATATATTAGGTATACAACATGTATAATTTGTACCATCTTAGGTAAACTAATAAGAAATTGGAACTGTAATTTGCACCAAAATTTAAATAATTTATTCTTTTGATAGCGCCTAACTCCTAACCAGGAGCTACTCCAAAGGTATTTCGTATTTCTAAAGAAAATGTACATTGTTAAAAACAAAATCATAAAAAACATATTATAACATCAAAAGTTTTCTGAAAATTATGACCTCCCCTCCCCCAACCTTGTTTCTGGAGCCGCCCCTTCTACAAACAAAGTTTTGATAGTAGAGTACAATATATTGTAATATGAGAAGCTAATAACACATTATATTCCATTTTAGATTCTGAGCAATTATTGCACTGACCATTTACACTGTTCTACGATAGGTTCTCCAGTATTGACTAAAAAGGTACCTTATAGCAATAATAGATGATAAGTTTATTATATATTATAATATAATATCTAAAAAATTGCCTTATTTTAGGCAAAAATATAATTTTAAGACATTTAATGGTTTTAAACAATTTAGATTTTACAAAAGAGTGTCTATAATACTAACATACCTAATTTTTAGCTTGGTTTTTATTTTTTAAATAGCCAAAATAAGTCAAAACATCACTATGTTATTTATAATTCACGTTTTTGTTTACTCTTCTGACACAAGCTGGGCTTACAGAGAGATTGCAGTAGCTATGTATCTGTAATAAATGTATACGTTTGTATTTTTGTGGTTCAAAGAGAGTCTTAATATTATAAAAAACAATTATCAGTCAAATAGTAAGCATAATGAATATAAAATAAACGAATACATAGATAGAAGATACTCAATTTGGTGCAAATTACAAACTCCCAATAAATCGAGAAAACAATTTTTATTATTGTATTCTTAATTTATCACCATTTAATACAACATTGCAGTCTAATTTACAAATATTAGTTGCAATATGAGTATCATTCTTTAGAAGTGTCCTAATATGCAGTCCACCAATAATTTGAGAAATATCAATGAACTGTGGTCTACCAATTATAATAAAAGTATAATAATGTAGTATGTGGTGTACAGTTCAAATTTTATCAAATTCAATGATTTAACATGAAATATATATTAATCAACATAAAATAAAAAAAGGGAAAGTGGGAACTGTTCTATGCATGGAAAGTAGGTGTTTAGTGAATCTTGCCATTGATTAAGTCACTGTAATGTATATGTTAAATTTGATCCCAATAAAAAATATTTACATACAAAAACCTATTCTGAGCTAAGACTATCAGTAGTTAGCTAATATTTAATGCTTCGATGTTCAACTTCAGTATATTTTCTGGTAGGAAAATGAATCTAGTTAATTCTTTAAGAGGTGACAACAAAAATTTTCTAAATAATTTACAATACCAATATAAAATAAATTGCGAAGAACGGGAATTTTTTTACAAAACAGTTTTAAACAAAATTGTTTATTTTAGTTATTGTAGTGACTTATTTACCAAATGTTAATGATTGACATATTTTCTATAGGTACATGATTAAATTGTCTATCTATTATGACTTTTTTCAACTATTGATGTATACATATTACATATTGATATAAAGGTACACTAGAATAATTTATTGATCGAAATTCGGTCATAAAACGTTAAAATCTACACATTCTAAAATATTGAACTTTGCACACATAATTTGTTGCTTATCTATCGGTGTTGTGCTTTTTCTCTATTTTAATTTCTATGAGCGTTTTATATTGTAAATTTTCATATTTTAGTTTTTGAGTCTATAAGCCATAAGGCTTAAGCTACATTAGATACATAAAATTAATTTCCATTTGAGAAGCAAACAATAATTAACTATTTTTTTATATTTATTTTATAAAATATAAATTGGTTAGGTAGGTAACTGTGTTCTGTAATTTGTATTACCTGACTTCTTACAGGAAAATTTTTTTTCCAACAGACGTAGCACTAGGGTTTCGTATTTTTGTATTAATCTGCCATAAATCAGGCTTAAGAGAAAATGAGAAAATATAAATTCAAACATTTTTTTTGTGCACATCTACTTGATAATAACTTTCCAATACTTTATAATTTTATTCTCTTACTATGTTTATAATAATATGTTTGACAAAGAAAATAATCACGGATAGCTTATTAATATATTGATTTGAAGTTTACGATTTTATTTTTAGATATTTTTCGATAAATTAATTGAACATTTGATACGATGGTTCCTCATAGGATCTGAATTTAACAATTTATAAAAAAAAGTTGAACATAAATATATAACAACTTTTTATAAGTACCTATCTAAAATTTTAATTTTGACAAAGTTTTATATTCTTGTGTCAAGTAACAATTTCTTATAAAACAATTATAGTTTTTTTCTATTAATTTAAAAAGTATTAATTTATGGAATTCAAATTTAACACGCCCATTACAATAATAGGCACTCAATGATGAGGCACCCTAGTACAATCGTTGGTACCTGCACAACAGACCGCAAAATAGTACAAATGGTGGGCTTACTTGTACTTTTTTTTTAAAAAGCATGAAGTAAAATTTAATTTAAAAATATAATTAAATTTAACTATTATTACAAATGATGATAGGTGCTTAGTGTTGTTTAATTTTGTATTAATAAAAGAAAATTTGCAATCTATGTTGGAATACACAATAAGCAAATATGATAATTAATATAGTTTTTAATTGAAAAATAATATTAGGAAGGGGGCATACAATGGTAGAGCCCAGCGTGTTATATCATTAATCAAAAAACCTAGTTAATAAATCCCTTGAGTCGATGAGTGGGATTTATAGGTTGTGATTACTAACAGGTTAGTATGGAAATGTAGTTTGCATTGAGTAATGTTTTGAATATTATGTTTAAAATTTAAAATATTTTTTGTTATTTCTTATTCATATAACTTATTTGACATTTTTCATAAGTTAATTTATTACACTAGTTGTAAGTGTAATATGAGCAGATTTATTAATAATTTGAAATTCGAATTTAGAAATGAAAGAGGAAAGTCATGTGGCTATATCAAAAATGAATAACTATAGATAATTGAAATGTTTACGAATGTTTATGTGAGAAATTTCTATACACGGTTTAATTTTCAAAATATATTTTTGAGCTATTAATAGACATTTCACAATTTATTTAGGTTTTTTTCTTTAAATGTTGATAACATTTTTATCGTTGAACCAAAAACCTTTAAAATTTAGTACAAGAATAGTACTCATCAGTTGATATAATTGCAGTTGAAAAATATAATAATTAAAAATTCGATAAATTATAAAAAAATTATATTCTTGTAGAATTAAATTGGTTTAAAATATAATAAATTAACTATTTAGAATAATGCCTGATACACGGTTAAATATTTTTATAAGTTGTTCTATCTGCAAATCCAATATTTTATTGACGTTGATGACTAAAAATATCAAGTACCTACAGACCAACTTTTTGTTAATCAAGGTTACAGAAAAATTAAAAGTATAATAATATTAAAATTTTAACAAGTGTTTGTATTTCTTTTTAAGAAAGTACCTTCACACAAAAGTAAAAGAATAAAAAACCACACATCATTGTAAAATCAATTCATCTAATACAGTGTTTCCCAACCTTTTTACCACCACGGACCACTTCCACAATATTTTATAGGTCGCGGACCACCTCAATTTTACACAAACTAGGAAGACCTTTTTTTTTTTGCTCATTAACAAGAATACACAAAATTTATTAAAAATTTTTTATTATTTTACTGTACTATTATATATAATTATTTAATTATTAAACTTTACTAATAATTTACTTAGTGTGATTTTTGTGGCTGCATTTCTTTGACCAGTTTTTCAATTCTCGGATGAATGTTGCTAATGGCTAAACGCATGTCGTCACTTACGTCCAAGCGATTTCTCTGTTTATTTTTGATCACAAGTAGACTGGAAAATCCTTGTTCACACAAATACGTAGTTGAAAATACTACTAAATAACGTAAGGCAATTTCCCGTAGTTGAATATGTAATGTTGCCCTTCTGCACCAAAATTCCTCAAGGTTCATACCAGAATCAAACATATTTTTGCAGTCAGAGTCATTTTGCAGTTATAATAGAAAACTAAGAAAGGTACCGCGGACCACCTATGACTGGCCCACGGACCACCGGTTGGGAAACACTGATCTAATACAATATAATATGATGTATGAGGGTACTACTCATAGGTGTAGAATTTGGGGGCTAAGGGGGCTATAGCCCCCCCCCCAGGATTCTACTAAGCCCCCCCTGAAAATCTTGTGTAATAGTTTACTGTCTTATACGTCCATATGTGGGAACTTAAAACATTTTCTATTATTTATTTTGATATCCGAAGAATATTCTATTTGATAATTCAAATTTTAAATTAATCATTTATTTATACATTACAATATCATATCGACATTCAACATCAATTACAATAATAATATTTTGTTATATACCTAGTTCTATCTTCTATATTATAAATTAATAAATTATAATCATCAGAAGACTATAATGACGTTATCGCCGTTCATCGATGTTTATCGATATGCTTAATATATTTGCGCAAAAAAGCAGACGTTTAAACCCTATTATATAGTAATTAGTAATGATTTCCTATTTAAAATGTTTGTTTTTTAAATATTTAATTCAAATACAAAATATGTATTTGATAATAATATGATGTATGGTATATTATTTATTTATATTTTACTTAATAATGTGCTTCTTTAGTACTTTTTATATTTTGTTCCTTTATATTTTTCTATAGTTATATTTGTAGAATATAATATGTTCTGTACCTGAATCATTAAAGCCCTTTTACAAAGTAATTCGCAAGCAATTACATCAGCGTCGTTGATACCACAAAAAAAAAGGCTATAGCCTCCCCCAAAAAAATCATCACGCTATGCCTATGGTACTACTCTTAGAGACTTTGATTTTATAGATAAAAAATCATTTATATTATAATATTATGAACTGTGTTTAAATTTAACTATGGATTTCTTAGTTAAAAATAAATTTCAAGATTCTTTCACAGACATTTAAAATAGTTAATTAATATGGGTAATAAATAAATTAATTGAAGAAACTTATGTTAAAATACACCACAAATGACACTTTACTGACTTGCATGTACAGTCAATTAACATTTAACGGATCAATAGTGAGCTAATGGTTCTTTAAACATGATTAGTCCATTAAATTAATATATTTTTCATGCAACCTGGCATAACACTGCAAGATATAAAGACAATGATTGAATTAAGAAAAAATTAGAAGATGGTTGCAAAATTGTGTAAAAAAATGTGCCAAACCTAAATATAAAATGTCATACTATTTAGAATATAATGTACACCAGCCCCGTTGTACACATTGGTAATTTTTTTTTTCTAAGAATAGAGACTATTAAATAATAAATTAATAAACAATAAGATAGTAATAACAATGTGAATATCTGAGATATAATAACGCACAATATATTAACAGATCATGCAACATTCATATTTATAGTACAGAAATTGGTGGTAGAGCATTTTGGGATGTAGTAAATTAATACTGTAAATTAATTAAAATTGAATGGTATTATTTTAAACATTAGTAAAAAAATATAGGTATTTATAAATAATAAATATGGTATTGTTATATCTACCTATCTAATTTATAACTTTGTTTATTACCTTTTCATACATAATAATATACCATGCATTCGTCTCTAATATTTATGACTTGTTGTTTTACTTAAACTTATTTTTTTTTTCAGCCAGATTTGAAGAAAGTGATTGTTCATACCTACTACCTACTTATTTTTAAAAAATATTATGTTATGTATGTTAAATATTAGATTAATTTGTAATATATTTGTAAATTGTTTTTATTTTGTATGAAATTATTCGTTTGTAGCCAATTGATTCAATTAACAGTTTTAAAAATAAGTACACAATTCAAAACAAGTTTTGAATGTTACCTACCTATAATGTATTTTCATAACTATCATGAATTAAATTACTTTTATGTATTCATAATATTATATATTTTTATTTTTATTGTTTTTGGACTTAAATTTATACATCAAAGTACCAAATATAGAACATAGAAAAGAAGTAATAAGAAATAGAACAGATTTTACAATATATGTAGGTACCATATTATACTTCAATGCACACAATTAATGTTAGAAATCAAAACACATGATTAAATAGTGAAAGGGTGTTAACATTTTTATGAATATTGAAAAAATATAATTTACAACAAATATAGGATGCATTTACAAATTAACATGCATATGTTTATTACCTGGTGGTAGATTTAATATTAGGTTAGTCAACAATTAATGTGTCTCTCTTAATATTTAAGGGGAGTCCACCTAAATGATATACTAATTTTTTATACATTTTTATTTTTCAGTAAAAAAATAAATAAATGTTATATTGCAAACTGCAATAATAAATTAATAAATACCATTGCTAGATTAGGTCAGGTAAAGTAAATAATAACAACAATTTCGGTAAGTATGTTACTGATACATTTTTTATGATGCCCCCTCTTATGGATTCGCAGATTTTATTTGTACCCTTCAATCCTACCCACTGACAAAGGAGTCCCGTAGAATATAAAATTGTTAGAACTAAAATAATGGGAGGGCTATAACCCCCAGCACTCCCCTACCGGCCACTTGTCTACAAATATAACCAAATATTCATTGCATTGATAGATAAGCAATATCAGTGTAACCTGGAGATAGTTTGTTTGATTCCAAATAGGTTTGTATAGCTTATTTTATTAAATAGAATTAGTAATTATTGTCCATTGACTACTCAATACTGTTCATAGGTTGTGAACTTGTGTAATTCTTGACATTCAACACCAGGAAAAAAAACTCCATGAGCGATTAAATCTTTAACTTCAACATATGACCAGTCTTGACTTCCTTCAGTAAAATTTATATTATTAATATAAAATCATTAAAAGTTTTAGATTTTATTAGATTAAATATGTAGAACAGTGGCATATCCAGAGGCTACTGAAGATCTGTACTTTAAATTATTGGTTGTTATATAGGTATATTAAGGTAAAATTATCTTTCCTAAATATTTTATTTAACCTAAGACAACAGCTTTAGCCCAAAAAACTTTTCTAGTTTGAAAAATTATATTAGTTGAAATCAATTTAATGGTTTGGCTATTCTGAATATTCATAGGGAGTGAGACTTTCACGTTAACAACCCTGTGTTCAGAATCGTTTTTCATAATATGCTATGATTTATCAATGACATGCTCAACAGTTGCTGTCAGCAAAGTGGTACCTACTACCTCGGAGAGGATTTTCTCTGCTTCAAAAGGTAATATCAGGCACACACACACAAAAAAAAAATACACATTGTTTATGAAATCTATTCATTCATAAAATCACAGGCTTAAATCATAAAGTATCATTAGATTCTAGTAATTATTCATTTTTTTTCAATAATAACTCAACATTTTGTAAAAATATAGCCTAATATTCTTTCTGAGTGTTAATACTTTTTGAAAAAAATGAATCACACTGTCAAATAAATCATTGTTTATTGTACATGGGAACTCACATATGCCTGAAGAACTATCAGCAATCCTTGGTTTTGTAAGAGGTGAATATTATGTGTCTATATATCTATAACAATACTGTCAATACTAAAAAAAAGTGAAGACTTTTTCCCATCCTTTTTTTGCAATGTGCTTGCATTGGGTGATGCACTTTCGGAGTAGATACCTATACTGTTTTCAACATACACATAACCGAGCTAAACATTTAAGGAGCCTGCTCGTGCGTCTTTATTAAGGAGCAATATTTGACAATAAGCAATTTCGTTACTGCCGCCCATTACATTAGTGTTACTGTGTTAGTCAAAAATGATAATTTATTAGAACGAGTGTGATTGTATGCGGGTGTCGACTGCCGAGCTATCTACGTACGCACTGCACGCACACACATGTAAACGGCACCGCGGACCAAAAATAAAAAACTTGATTTTTTGCACAAAACACACTTAACAGGAAAAATTCTCACGCATCATAGAGTGGTCGGATTTGATAAGTTTGTTTTTTTAATTAGAGGATAATTTTTTACTGGGCGCATTGAACTTTGATTTCCAAATTTGTAACTTAAACCAAACATAATAAAAATAACAAAAGCTTGTTTAAATTGGTCTTATTCAAAATCCTATCACATTGTTTAGAAATATGATTTCGAAAATTTAAGTCCAATGAGCCCTGTAAGAAATGTTTATCTTTCAAAAAAAAAAAAACTATCGAAATCGGATTATTCTACATGGCGTGAAAGTTTTTCCTGTAAGAAATGTTTTTAAACAAAAAACAGGTCTTTTAATTTCTTTAGCTGCCACTTACGCTTTGCAATGTTAAATAATAACAAATACTAACTTAAAGCTCTGGTATTTTTATCATTAGGTACCTATAGAAAATTAAGCGTCTCGTTATTTTATTCTACCACAAACCATTATCCTATAAATATTGTTTATTACCTATATTGTAGCCTTGTACATTATTTTAAACCTTCAAAATTATGTAGGCATCTATTACCTACGACTTACGTCATGCTTTATCATATTTAACGCTGTTTGATAGTGAATTGTATGTTATGTTTAAAACTTCCTTGAGTGTTTTGTTACATTGGTGTTGGTAATTAGTGTGGTATTGAGCCTTAATATCATTTTATTAAGTTATTATTACTCTATTCTATAGATGCTATAGTCGTCCAGAGTGTTGGACTATTATCAGATGAGCCGTAATATATTGATTTGCAAGTTGAAAGTGAAGTTTTGAGTAATTCGATGAAATTGGGCTAGTACTCCTTTAATTAAAATACGTAGACGTAAAATGTACTTAGCTGTAAGTTTGGTAGTATGTAGTGGCTCCTAGTTTTATGCATGATTGTATTATCATTATCAAGAATTTTCGGGTTCATTTACAGGTAATCTCAGTTTTGTAAAGTTCTTGTTATAAAGTACTCAAATAAGTATTTTAAATACTTCTGAAAAAATACATGAACAAAGTATTTGCTTTCTCAAAGTATCTGTGTTTAAAAACAAACACAAATTTTTAAATATTTAATCTACACCTCTCAAAAATTTAAATAAATATAATAATAAATCTTTTTACTGTGAATGAATTATACTCAACTAAAAATTTAAATACTCTGACAAAGAAAGCAGATGAGTATTTAAAAGCTCCACGGTGGAGCCTCCACCAAATTTCGAGGCGTAAAATGCTCTATAAAATTTAAACAAAACTTGGAAATTATTTTGGTTGATTAAATTTGACAAATTTTGTAAGGTAAAAAATATATTTTATACACAATTCGGCAGTATCTATGAATACATTTTTGAAATATTTATGTCGTACTCAAATACATTTTTTCCTACGTATATGTTAAAATACGTATTTTTAAATACTTTTAAAAAGTATCTTTTACACGATTGGAGGTGAAGCAATTGCGGAGTGTTGGCTGAGAGTGACGATTTTTTTGGGTTTCAATGTGTTTATAGCTGTGAACGATTGTGACGGAGTTTACGAGAATAATCATGTTTGTTTACTTGTAGTATGTAATTGTTTATGTTGTCTAAAAAACATTGCATTTTTACTAACTATTTTATTATTTTAAATTTTAACTAGAGGAGACGAGCGTATTTGCATAGATTTTATGTTATCTGCTTCTTTTAAACCTCTCTATTGTTCATTCAGTCTTGAAGAATAGTACAGTAATCTATGATCTCATCACTAATACTGACAAGTGTCAGTTCAAGCGTGTTCAATGAGAATCCCTTAGGTTGACAGGTTCTGTATTTTTGTTTTAATCATCACATGATTACTTTCTAGTTCTTCATGTCCTCGATTTAAAATCGTTCACATTATCTAAAAAAAACCATTCTTTGTACAGGATGATGAAGCTGGTCAACGAGGGCCCATGATTCTTCGTTTTTTAATTATTATTTATTTTTATAAGTTTTGTTAATATTACTATTGTCATATATTATTTCAATGTAATTGTCTTGCTACTTTTTTTCATCTCAGTTTTGTCTGTTAAGCTTTAACATATTTTGAATATGGTTCACTTTTATCGATTTAAATATGTATAAATATAATATAAGTACAATGTTTCAACATTGTTAAACAGGTGTACCAAAGTATAAGAATACGCTGTCAGTACAGTGTACAGTGTACACCTGTTAATTAATTGATCAACCCTATTTCCTATTTATTACTTTATTAGGTATTAAAATATGTATTGTTAATTGTAATTCAATACCTACATTGATTTTAAAAGCGAAACGAGAATTAGTTTGCCACATACTATTTTTGAGCTTTGACGATTTAGGTTTGTATGTTTATCAGTTTTTAATGTTTATATCATAATATATACGCAACAAAAATTGTATTTAATATTTATGGACAAAAAAATAAACTAGACACCATTATAAAACCATTATATTCTCATCTTTGAAAAAAATCGAATAAATAATATTTGATTTATATTCAAGTTTCATATGAGTTCCTATTAAATGTTTTAAAAATTAAAACAATGTTTGTGTTTACAAAAATATTTTATTTTGCTTTAGATTTTTGTCTGTACAGGATTACTTAAATAGTTCACCAGGCAATGTAATTGTTTTTGATTCAATAAATAAAATATTTTCACTACTGTAGTGTTGTACCTATTAAATAATGTTTAATTTAATACCTCAGTCTTAGTGTTTAAAGGATAAAATAGTTATTTTACATGGTAGTCATTTTGGGGTTTTAATATTAATTGGCCATATCAATTCATACTTTAGATATAGATTTTAAATTGATCAAAGTATTAATGTTGCAAAGCGATGAATGTTGGACATTGTATTGGTTTTACAATTATTGAAATTGTTTGTGTGTCTGAGGTCTAACAGCCTTTGTAGAAGAGTAA